ACATGCTGGGAATGTGCTCTGCAATGGGGCTGCTGGAACAGGGGTGCTTAAAAGAGCAGAAACCCATCGTCTCACAGTCTGGAGCTGGATGCCGGGAAGCCAGGGCTGGGTGGGACTGGCTCTGACTACTGTGGGGAAAACCCAGTCTTGCCTCTTCCAGCTTCCCGAGTTTCCTGGACCCTTAGCTTCTTCCTGTAGATGGACTGCTCCCGGTACAGGGCATCGGCTGCCTCTGTGAATGTCCAACTTCCCCTTCTTATAAGGGCGCCCGTCATATAGATGAGGGCCCACTCTGATGAGCTCATCTAAAGATGTGTTTTTATTGTACAATATTTCATAGAGAGGCAAGGAAAGGAAGAGGAAGATAAAAACACTGATCAGCTGCCTCCTGCACACCCCGGAGTGGGCATGGGGCCCACAACCGGGCCTGTCCCCTGACCTGGAATGTGTCTGTGACCTCCTGGTGCATGGACGACACCCAACCACTGAGCCACACAGGGGCCCACTCTAAGGACCGCATCCTAATTTGATTCTCTGTAAAGACTCCACTCACAAATCAGGCACATTTAGAGATACGGGGTTAGGACTTGCCGAAATTAATTTCTAGGCCCAAAATGCTGCAGCAGCAAACAGAAACATAGCTTTCACATTCCCATAAATGTTCCCAGACAAGAAACGAGGAGAATAGTAATGGCTTCTCATTCTAAGAAAGGTCACCTGTGTGGCCCCAGCCAATCAACTTGCATCTAACCCCTCCCCTCCCTGTTCCCGACCCCCCCACACAACCACCCTCCCCCCTCCCCCCCTGTGGAAGATGCTGCCGGGCTGGCCTCAGGTTCGGAGGACTGCCGTGCCGAGTGTGCCGGCTCCGTGAAGCCCCGGTAAGATCTGCCAGGCAGCTTCATTGTCCTTCGGGCTATTTCCACAGACTGGAACTGTTTTGTTTTCTTTTTTGGGGGGAGGGCACAATTCAATCCATAGGTTCTCCTCAATCCACACACCCCCCCCCTATAAAATTTTATAGACCTCGTCCAGATTTGATTAGGTTGTTTATCACTTTTAATGTTTGCAGTAAGCAATCTGCCGTTGATGGCATGCTTATGACTGTCTGGCTGTGAGATTGGAAGAACAGTCCGGAGGTGGTACTGAGGCCATTTTGGCCATCTTGCCGCCTGTTCCCTTGCACACGGCCTGCACAGCGCCTCGGTGGTTTCTCTGACATTTGGGAGGCTGTTAGAGGCAAAGGGGATGAGCTCACTGCAGGAGGGGCGATGTGTGCTCAGGGGTTTGCAGAGAGTGAGCCCCATCCCTGCAGTCAGCCCCGTGTTCCGCGTTCACCCAGCCCGTCTGCTTCTCTGACCGCACCTGGCCGGTAGCGGGGGAGAGGCAGCGGAAGTTCCAGCTCTGAAAAACAGCGGGGACAGATTTTATTTTAGATCCAACCCACCAAAAAAGTGAGTGATGCGTACTTTTGAAGGATAATCTGATGTGTCACAGGAAATGGAGGAAGCCCCAGATGGACGGCTCCGGAGCTGTCCCTGTGTGCTGGGGAGGGTGCCTGTCCTGTGCTTGACCTAACGAGAGGGATTTGCTTCCACTGAGCCGTGGCGTCGCCTATAAATCTGATCTATGTTTGCTGCAAACACCACGCAACAAAATGCTATTTAATAAAAACATCCACATGGACCTCAGCTCTGGTACATGACCCATCGTTTCCTAATGAGCGGACACGTATATGTGTTTTGTCCAAAGACAGTGGCCTGTGAGCACTAACCGTGCAGCAGCCACCGGCGGCAGCACACCGGAGAAATACGGCCGCTCGGCTTTCTTCCCAGACAATCAGCGGTGACTAACGGCTCTCAGGGGAGGAGAGTGCAGAGCCATGGATAGTTCCCTACGTCGTATTTTGTGCCAGCATGGCCCAGTGATTTACAGTATTACAGGCCATTTCGGAAGTTGCGAGTTGCACAGGCCCCTTCATGCTGATAGCGTGCTGTGGGTGCAAATCATCGTGATTTGTGGGAGTGTGCGTGCAGGCAGGGCTGCATGCAGGAGAGGAATGCTCTGTCTGGAATCACTGGGGAAAGCACAGCTCAGCAGGTGTCCCAGGCAGCTTGGCACAGGCACGACATTCAAGTTCAAATATCTGAAATGTCAGACCTAAATGACAAGGTTGCATTAGAAAAGACACACGAGGTGCTGCGAATGGGTCTCCACGACCACTCGCCCCTCCTGTGGCTGACCGCATTTCCATTTCCTCTGAACAGCCTCCTCAACACCCAGAGAGACCACCGGCGCCTGCAGGGCCGTGCAGGAGCAGGGGGCGACGGCACAGCCAGTGGGTAGAGGGGAATACAGTCTCCGTCCACGCACGAGGGAAGGAAGGCAGATCAGGAGGCAGACGTGGCGGGCAAAGAACTTGTCCTCGGGCTTCAATCGTGACTGCGTCCCCAACTCGTCATGTGGCCTTCAGAAAGGTGAGCGTGGACGCCTGAAGTGGGAGCCCGATTCTGTCTGCTGCGCGGGTGGAACAGGGACTCCTGGGCTCCGGAAACGGAGGGTGCTGCGAAGGGCAGGATTCACCCTGAGGAGGAGGAAGGCCCGTGCCCTTCGTCTTGATTCCTCTGGCCGCCTGATCCCCCAGCTAGAAAGCACACATGTGCCCAAGACAGGCCTGGACAAGGGTTGTGTGCCAGGCACACCTGCGTGACCCCTCTCAGTGCTTATCTATGTGTTTGTGGGCACAGCTGGGGGTGGGGGACAGGCAGGGAGGCTTTGAGAATAATTGAGTCACACAAGAAAATGTAAGAGAGGAAGAAAAAGAAGGGGCATTATTAATTTTTCCCTTTTAGGTCAGGAAGCTGTGGCTCATGTCCTCCAGGGTTGAAAGTGGATATTGCACTTTTAATGAACTCGAGCATCTGCAGCGTGAAATGCTGTGAATTCAAAGCAACGTTATCTGGAGAAAAGTCAAGAAAGAATAGAGTGTGGCTCTAGAAATGCATGCCCGCCAGTGACCACAGCAGGAGGGGCTGCACGCTCTGTGAGGACACCCGGCCTCTCACAAGAGGCCTCACACTGCCAGGCCCGGGAATGCCTGTCACACGTGTTTCTCTGTTGGGGGTTGCTGGCCAGCCGGAATGCGAATCCTGACATGCATCTCAGTGGCCGGAAGACCGGGACATTGTTGATCAACAGCAGACTTGGTCTCTAAATCTATAAAATGGGAACATCAGTTTCTGCTTCACTGACTTTTTCGAAGCTCGAACTAAAGAAGAGATGGTGTGGGAATTGGAGTACAGTCCACACGTGAGTGGGTCTCAGCTGTCACTGTCCCGAGGCAGAAATGTGGACAGAAGGCCGAGTTGGACTTCTCTCCCTATGTTCCTGAGGAAAGCGCTGATCAAATAAACCCGCAGGCCAGGAGCCGGATGTGCTGTGATGTTGAGTGGATTTGCACAGATGTGATACCCAGGGCGCGTCACACTGTAATCCAGGAAAATGGATGCTCCCTGTGCCAACCAGGTAGCGTTCCTGCGACGGAAACACTTGATGCTTGTTCTGTTTTATCAGGAAACATCCTTCCTCAGAGGGGATGCCATCTGCTTGTGACTGTCTATAAAAGGAGAGGATTTTGAAGTCTGCAAGAGCATGCATTTTTAAAGTTTTGTGATACAGTGATGTGTTCGGAACAATTTCATTGGAGTGCCGCCCTGGACGTGGCTAATGGCGTCCGTCTGACCAGGTTTCTGATCTCCATGGTTTTCCCGGCCACACAGCTGCCTAACGTTTAATTACTCATTGAAAAAGTTTTCCGTTTATAACAGTTGGTAACGTTTGCTGATTTCAAACAGTTACCATGCCAGTGCCTCTCCTTCTGAACACTTACATTCATTATAAAAAGGGCCGGGATGCAGGCTGACTGTAATCCTGTTGGTGAGGACTACCAAAGTTATTTAAGAAAGATAGTTCATTTGTATGTTTTTTTAAAATATATATATTTTTATTGATTTTTACTGAGAAGAAGGGAGAGGGATAGAGAGTTAGAAACTTCGATGAGAGAGAGACATCGATCAGCTGCCTCCTGCACACCTCCTACTGGGGATATGCCCACAACCAATGTATTGTACATGACTGGAATCGAACCTGGGACTCTTTAGTCCACAGGCTGACACTCTATCCACTGAGCCAAACAGGTTAGGGATGTATGTTTTTTTGTTTTTGTTTTGTTTGTTTTGTGTGTGTGTGTGTGTGTGTGTGTGTGTGTGTTTTAAAAAAACATTTTTATTGATTTTTAGAGAGAGGAAGGAAGAGGGAGAGAGAGAAACATAGATTAGGTGCTCCTACATGTCCCCTACTGGGGATTGAGCCCATAACGCAGGCACGTGCCCTGCCAGGAATCGAACTAGTGACCACTTGGTGCATGGGATTATGCCCAACCAACAGCGTCACATCCACCAGGGCTTATTTGTATGTTTTAGACAGCATTTGTCTAACATTATATCTTTCAATAATGATTCTCAATTTTTAAAAATAAAATTGCATCTGAACTCATCTTCATAGCAATTTATTTCTATATTAAAATGACATCTTTATTTATACAGGAGATCCCCAAATATGTATTTTCTGAAGGATGCAGACAGAGAAAACAATTGGGATTCACTAGTAAAGTAATTTCATCTTGTGAGGGAGGGGAGCAGGGCAGGCACCCCAGGTCCCACCTTCCCAAATGCACTCTCATCCTTCCAGAACACGGGAGATCCTTGTGAGCCCAGCTGCCGGGAGCGTGGGCTCAGGGCGAAAGGAACCCCTGCTCTGCCCTTTGCCACCTGAGTGCCCTGGGGGCTCTGCCCGCCCTCAGACACCAGCACACGAGTGAGAACCTTGGGGAGGTTCCGGGGCACCAGCCTATCAGGGGGCACCTCGGGGTTCTGCTCTGTGAGGTGTGAGGAGGGCTCCGTGCCCTCCAGTTGCTGTGCCGCTGCCTCCGAGCCGCCAGGATGCCTGTGTCCTCGCTCTCCTCGGCCATCCTGGCCCACATGAAGGCCATCAACAACGTGCCGCCTCCCCCGCTCCGCAGCGTGCCTGGTGAGCGGCCTCGGGGCCCAGGCCTTAGAACGGGCGTCTGGACGGTTGGGAGGGAACCAGCAGTCTTAGCGACCACTTGTTGGGGGGCGCAGAAAGCTTAGAGGCACGGACCTTCCGTGTCCTCTGAGGCCATTTCCGTTCCCTCGGGCTCTGGTCTTCTGCTGTAAACGAGGCTCTGTGTGGGGACCTGAGGCCTCCGGCAGCGAACAGCTGGGAGAGGCGCCGCGGCCGCCTGTCTCACCTTACATTTTCCAGGAATAAACAAGACAGTTCCCATTATTCTTGCTCTGAAATTTATTCCTATTTCATATTATTTTGCAGTCTCATGGGGACTATAAATGTAAATTAAATATTTTGAAGTTTCTGCAGTTGACAGTTTCTTATTTTCTATAGCCAGTCTAAACCCAGAATGTTTTTCTCAAGACTTCTTATTATAGGTATCAAATTTATACATCTATTGTTTGATTACCAATGGACTGAATTAATTATATGTAATAATCCTAGTGAGAGCTGAGATTTAAAAACATCTTTTAGGCAATGAAGGTAACAATTTTGTCCCTTTCAAATTTAAAAAAGCATTTACTTTATCAAATATGAAATAAATGAATAATAAGTGAATTTATATTGAATGAGATAAAGCATTTAGTTTATTGAACATTACTTCATTAAATTGTATACTATTTTAATGTAGGGTAAATTTATAGTATTGACTGAAGAACTAACTTATCTATTCTTTTATCTTCCTGTGAGAGTTAGTTCTACTATATATGTGTGTGTGTGTGAATATATAAACTAGAGACCTGGTGCACAAAATTCATGCACTGGAGAGGGTTTGGGGTCCCTCAGCCCAACCTGCACCTTCTCGCAGTCTGGGACCTCCCGTGCAGGCTCAGGCCCACTTCCTGTGCAGTCCGGGACCCCTCACTCCTTTCTGCCCACCTGCTTGTTGCTTCTTACTGCTCCGCCAGCTGTTCCTAGTGCTGCTGTGGAGGCAGAAGAGGCTCTCTCTACCACCGCTGTGTTCACCAGCTGTGAGCCCAGCTTCTGGCTGAGCAGTGCTCCCCCTGTAGGAGCGCACTGACCACCAGGGGGAGCTCCTGCATCAAGCATCTGCCCCCTGGTGGTCACTGTTCATCACAGTGATCGGTCGTTCTGGTCATTCCGCCGTAACAGTCGCTTAGGCTTTTATTATATAGACTAGAGGCCCAGTGCATGAAGTTCTCAGCCCAGCCTGCACCCTCTCCAGTCCGGGACCCCTTGGGGAGTTTCTGACTGCTGGTATAGTCCCAATCCAGGGGCCTAAACTGGCAATTGGACATCCCTGTCACAATCCTGGACTATTGGCTCCTAACCACTCACCTGCCCGCCTGTCTGATCACCCCTAACTTCCCCTTCTGCCAGCCTGATCACTCCCAACTGCCTCTGCTTGCCAGCCTGATCGCCCCCAAATGTCCCCCATCTGCAGGCCTGGTTGCCTCCAACTGTCCCCCCTGTTGGCCTGGTCATCCCATGCAGCCTGTTTTCTTGTCAGTTCAGTTGCAACGGTCACTTAGCCTTTTATATAGATACGAAATTTATATAGGTGAACAAAATCCATGCAGGGGGGTGTCCCTCAGCCAGCTCGCACTTTCTCCAATCTGGGACCCCTTGGGCGATGTCCAACTGCCAGTTTAGGCCCAATCCCACTTCACTGACAGTTGGACATCCCTCTCATAATCCAGGACCACTGGCTCCTAACTGCTCACCTGCCTGCCTGCCTGATTGTCCCTAACCACTCTGCATGCCAGCCTGCTTGTCCCAACTGCCTCCTCCATCATCCTGCTTGCCCCCCTGCTGGCCTGCTCACTACCAACTCCTCCCCCCCCCCCCCCACCAGCCTGATCACCCTCAACTATCCTCCCCTCCTGGCTTGATCTCTCCTGATGACCTCTGCCTGAGCCCCACCACCATGGCTTTGTCCAGAAGGACTAATTAGCATATTACCCTTTTATTAGTGTAGATTAATGGCCATGGTCTCCAGGTGAAAAGGTGTCTCAGGCAGCAGTTGAGACCCTGAAGAGTATGCTTATGTTTTGAACAGCGTTAGACAAAGGTTTAATTTAAAGCAAATTAATTTCTACATATGCTACTTCTTTAGTTTTTACTAGAAACCCAGTGCACAATTGAAATTGTGCGAGGAGGTGTCGAGCCTTCTGCCGTGTGAGGAGGCACCCTGCAGGGGGTTGGGACCCATGCCTGACCGTATTGCACCAGCTGCCATGTTGTGTCGGCTGGGGTGGGGGTGTGCTCCGAGCCACGCGGCAGCCGCTTGGAGCATGCCCCCGGCCGCTGTGTTATGTCTCCTGGCATGGGGGCAGGCTCTCCTGTGTGTTGTGTCTCCACTCTGCCCACCCCAGCCTCAGCCTCCCCATGGCCTCTGGGGCTGGGGGTGGAACGCAGTTCCCCCACCCCATCTGCCCTGCAGCTCCTCCTGAGTGGTTGTGTTGCAGCGTTCTTCTGAGCTGTAGTGACACTTGGCTAATTAGCATATTCCGTGTGTGTGTGTGTGTGTGTGTGTGTGTGTGTGTGTGTATTTGTGAAAAACTTTTTGTACATAGTCAATGTTTTGTATTTCTATGTGAGTTGAAATAAGTATCAAATGTGATTTTGTCTCCCTAGCTGGTTTGACTCAGTGGGTAGAGTATTGGCCTGTAGACTGAAGGGTCCTGGACTAAAGGGACATGCCCAGGTTTTGGGGTTGATCCCCAGTAGGAGGTGCAGGAGGCAGCCGATCAATGATTCATTCTCATCGTTGATGTTTCTCTCTCCCTCCCTCTCCCTTCCTCTCTGAAATCAATAAAAACATAGTTTAAAAAATGTAATTTGGTCAAAAACCACAGCTCCTAGCGTACAGGTTTTATTTGTGAGAAAGAAAGCGAAGGCCCCTTTGTTTTTAGTGGCCCGGGAAGCACAGGGCGCTGAAAGAGCACGGCGATTAGAATCCCGGGACCAGGCGCATGCTGCCCGCTCCCGTGTCCCCAAAGACACTCGGTGTGCGAAGTGATTAAAGATGAAGAGCCAGCGCCTGTTAGATCTCAGAGTGAACTGAGCGGGGTGGACGCAGCGAGCCCGTCGGCTGCAGCGGCTCGGACTCATGTTCTGTCTGTGGCTTCTCCTCGGAGACGTGTCCTGCTTGCTGAGTAACCGTGTCTGCTAATTCCATCACGGATTTCTTTCGTGAGCCCTGCTGAAGCAGTGTCCAGGATCAGTGCTTTCACCTGCAAGGTAACTGGACCTGAATCGGAAGGAGCGATCAGACGGGGGAGAAGGGGAGAGGGAGTTCAGATGCACTGGGCATAAACGGAAGACTCGGCTCTGGATCTTAAAAGCATGGCCATTGGTTGCATCCCTGTTTACCTGGGATGAGGTTCGCGGGTTGCGATGAGGAGTCAGGTCTCCCTTGCCCCACTTGTTCCTGGTGAGGAGTGTCTCAGGACCACCGGGTGCTGTGCTAGACGTGACACCGTGGCCATCTCACTGCTCCTCACCGGGACACCGGAGGTCTGCAGTAGGAGAGCATGGCCCAGTGACGGCCTGCCAGTCCCGAACGTGCGGAGATGCCATGCTGTGGGGCAGGGGCTGTGCCCTGCCAATCACGTGATCTGAAGGAGAGGGTCGCCCTTACAGCTGGGCCAGGGGACCATCAGGGTCCGTCTTTCTCTGTGGAAGAGGGAGGCGTGTGGGTCAGTGTGATGGTGGTGACACAGGCCTACTGGCCAACTAAAGACCCATGTGGGGTGATAAGCCCAGGAGTTGGAGTGCCCCTAGAGGCTGGAAAAGGCAAAGACATGGGCTCTTCCTCAGCCTTCCAGAAGGAATGCAGCCTGCTGACAGCACTGTAGCCCGCCCAGTGAGACCATGGGATTCCTGACTCCCAGACACAAGGGACTGCTTGGTGTGGGTTTGAGCAGGAAGCCGTGGTAGGGAAGGAATACTGGGCCCACCCTCCAGTGGAGGCGGCGAGGCCGAGGCCTCCTGCGAGGCGCCAGGTGCCCGGGGTGCAGACTTCACCGAACCCCCACGTAATGAACTCCCTCTGCCCCTAAGCACCCCCAGCACCAGCTCCTCCCCAGCACCAAGGGCCGCGGCCCCCTCCCGCCACGTCTGGGCTCTGGGCAGCTTGCATTTGCTTGTCGCCCACTCAGGCCCTCCCCACAGCCAGCGGCCAGACCCGATGGCTCCTGGCCCGCCCCCCGCCCTCTGCCTGATCCTCTGGAACTGCACCCTCTCAGACCACCTCACAGCTGGGCTTCTTGAGGCGCCTACAGATTTTCCCTTGGGGAGTTCCGCGTCTCTGCCTGTGTCCCAGGGTCCGCACAGCTCTGCGTGCTAACCTCCCGCTCCTCAGTCTCTCCTTGGACTCGGCCCTCCTCACCTCCCTCCTCACCTTCTGCAGCCTCCCGGTTCATGTCACCAGAGCCCACAGGCACCTAATGCACCTGGGTCACCTCCCTGACCCAGGAATCCCGGGGGAGGGGGAGAGGGGGTGACTTGTATGTCCATTGCCTCGCCTGTTGGTGACCAGGGAACGGAAGCCCTGGGGGAGAGAGGATCAGACTCAGAAGCTAAAGCAGACAGGGCGCCCTCTACCCTGGGCGCGGACTGTTATGAAGCCACAGAGGTCAGAGTGCGCAGCGGTGTCACTGTCACCAGAGGGGCCTGTGGCCTGAGCACCCAGCCTGCTATTAGGCTGAGCTCCCGAAGGGACGAGAGGAAAGAAATGCCCCTGATTTTTCTGGAAGGCATGGAGCTGCCCTTCAGCTTTGCGGGGGGAGAGGGGAAGTTCCCCACTGTGAGCGGAGTGTGGTCTGCTACCGTTTGATCCCTGGCTATGCCGTGAGCCTCATGCTTTGTTGCTGAGAAAAGGCAGGTGCGGGATGTGCTGTCTGACGCCTGGGCCCGGGAGGAGGCCTGCTGCGGGGCCTGGCAGCTGTGTGGGCTTCAGTCAGGAGGCGGGGCAGGGGCAGTGCCTGCACCCTGGCGGAGAATGGAGCGGACAGAAAACCCGCTGGGCAGGGCACTCTGAGCCTTAGAAACCAGCCGCCTCCCAGGCAGGGTCCTGCCGGCCACACTCCACCAGGTGCAGAAGCTGCGAGACTGAGACCGCTGTGCCCAGCACCTCACGGGCAGGTCCTGGAACTGGCGCCTCTTTCTGTTCTCGGGAGCAAGGACAAAAGGGGTTCCAAGACAGAGGTGTGTCTGGAAAGGGGGCATGGCTCCAGTTTAAAGTTTAACCCCTTCAAATCCTGGGGTGCACCTGGGGAAAGGGGGACTGTCTGCGAGAGGAGAGGCAGGGAGGTGGAGGGAGGGGTGGATGGATGGGAAAGCAAGGAGGACCCTGTCTGCAGGAGGCGGAGGTGGAGGGCAGTCTGCGCGGCTCCACGCACAGCAGCATGGGTGCCGGAAACAGTCGGAAAGGGGACGGAAATCTGTGCTATTACTTTACTTTTCATGTGAAATCAGTTTATTTTGAATCCCAGAGGAGAGAAAAGTGGATGTTTTCCTGCCAATAACAAGCATTTCCTTTCCCTCTGACCGCTATAACTCTCTCGAGGCACTTGGGCTTTTTGGGAAGAGGTTGTGAGCACCTGTAGGAATGAAGTGGCGGTAACTGGGCTGGATCGTGCTAGGCAGGAAGCACTGGGTGCACTGCAGGCCGCTCAGTCAGACCCCGTTAGCGGTGCCTCCGGGCTCCTTCAGAGCCGGCACCAGTCTCAGAAGCGCCTCCTGCATTCACCCTCCACACAGCCCCTCCCGCCTGCAGCCCGGCTCCGCACTGCCTGCATTGGCCGCTGCCCCCCTCCCACGTGCAGGGCGGCCGGGTCCTTCCTGACACGGTGGTTTAAGCAGAATGTGCGCATGGCCGGTGTTTCTAAGTGACCAGAGTGTCAGCCACGCAGCCAGGGGCCCCTGGTCCCTCCCCAGTCTTGGGCACGCACCTGGGTGGCAGGCTCCAGCCTGGCCCCTGGTCAGGCATATGCGGGAGGCAACCAATTGTTGTGTCTCTCTCACATCCATGTTTCTCTCTTTCCCTCTCCCCCTCCCCAACCCCTCCCTCCCTTTTACTCTCTCTAAAATCTATGGGAAAATATCCTCAGGTGAGGATTAAAATAAATAAATACAAAATAAAAATAAAAAGCAATCTGATCATGTTAACTCTCCATTCAAAAGTCCTCAGGGTCAGTCACAGTCTGGTTTCCTCACCCTGACGTCTGACTGTTCTTGATTCCACGCTGACTGTGGGCCCTGGACCATGGACTGCATCTCCGCGCAGCAGAGGGATGCCTGGTGGACTCGCTGTAGACAGGGCCTAGCATCCAAGCTGCATGGTCCTCTGGTCCGGGCGGCAGCTTCAGCTGGGGTCTCAGGCCGGCAGGGCCACGCACCCTTCCTGTGCCATCACCTGACCTGCGACCAGCGGCGGCAGCCTAGGCTGGGGCCTCGCACCAGCATCATGCTATCCCCTGGCAGCAGCGACATCTTGAGCTGAGGTCTCAGACCATCAGGGCCTCGCACCCAAGCTGCGCAATCCCCTGGCCCCAGAGGCAGCCTGGGCTGCGGTCTCAGCCTGGTTAGGGCACAATCCCCTTCAGTGGTGGCAGCCTGTGGTCACACCAGCCAGGCAGATATGGAGGAATTTTAAATGTTTCTTTTTAAAATATATATATTTTATTGTTTTTTTACAGAGAGGAAGGGAGAGGGATAGAGAGTTAGAAACATCGATGAGAGAGAAACATAAATCAGTTGCCTCCTGAACACTCCCTACTGGGGATGTGCCCCCAACCAAGGAACATGCCCTTGACCAGAATCAAACCTGGGACCCTTGAGTCTGCAGGCCAATGCTCCATTCACTAAGCCAAACTGGTTAGGACTGTCCAATATGTTAAAGAAAAAACCCTACCTAATAAAGAGGGAATATACAAGGGAGGGCATTTGGGGGTGACCAGGGTATCAGGGGAGGGCAGTTGGGGACAATCAGGCTGGCAGGGGAACAGTTAAGCGTCAATCTGGCTAGCAGGGGAGTGGTTAGGGGGTAATCAGGCTGGCAGGCAGAAGTGGTTAAGGGTAATCAGGGAGGCAGGCAGGCAAGTAGTTGGGAGCCAGTAGTCCTAGACTGTGAAAGGGATCCCGACTGCCTGTTTAGGCCAGATCCCAGGGATTGGACCTAAACAGGCAGCCGGACATCCCTCAAGGAGTCCCAGATTGGAAAGGGTGCAGGTTGGCCTGAGGGACACCCCCTCCTGTGCACGAATTTCATGCACTGGGCCTCTAATATATATAAAATGTTAGTATAAATGTGGTGAGATGAAAGCTTGCAGATACTGGTGGTGGGGCTAGAAATTCATAAAACCTCTTTGGAAGACAATCAATAGTCATCAAGTGGAAAAGGCATGTGTCCTATGGAATTGCAATCTATTAAAACCCAGTGCCTCAGAAACCCTGAGCTTCACCCGTGTCACCTTGATCACCAGCTCAACTTCTGGTCTGTACAAAGTTACAAGTTCATGTTGAAACCTTTCAGCCTTTTTCTTTTTAATGAAACTGCTTCCATTCTGTGGCTCACCACCCTGAGGTAGAGACCTGTGGCATGTTCTGCCTCTCGGAAAAGAGGCTGAGTGAAGAGGAAATACTTAGTGAGTTGTCAAGTGTCTTCACGGCAAGTGTCTCTGGCTCCTCTTCTGGCTTTGAGTTTCCTTGGCTGTTCCAAGCCTAGTACAGAGCCTCACCCTCAGGCAAGGCGAGTCTTCAGCTTTTCTGTTCTTAGTTAGAAATTCTTAGACTTATAACGTCCGTCCTGTGATTTTTATTTTTATTTTTATTTTTGTAAGCTGCTTTAGCTGAAGGATGAAGACATGCTTTCTTAAAGCTCCCTTTTTAGTCAGAATTTCTAAACCTTTTCTCAGATCTTTATGGCACCGTCCTGTCATGTCCACACAGTCCCAGGGCTATTTCTGACTCGGTACTAACCTGTGTCAGGAACATGGTGGGCTCAGACAATAGTTGCCAGATGTCTCTTCTTAACCCATGTACCTAAAAATCTGCTCTCATTAAAATTTATACAATATCCTACACAGCAACACTGGTATACTAAAAGTATTTTTAAAAATATATTTTTATACATTTTCAGAGAGAGGGGAAGGGAGAGAGAGAGAGAAACATTGATGTGAGAGGAAACATCCATCTGCTGCTCCTGCACACCCCCCAGTGGGGATATCTGGGCATGTGCCCTGACCGGGAATAGAACCAGCAACCTATCTGGTGCTCAGGAGGAGCCCAACCAACAGAGCTGCACCAGCCAAAGTCGTTCTGATATAATCCATCTGCAACTTGACTCACTTAAAATAATTACTCCCTATGATACTGAAGTGCAATTAGGTATTTATTTATTTATTTTTTTTTGTTTCTTAAGGCTTAACTGATTAATGTAGATAAGAAAATGCAGAAATAATGTAATTAGTACTTTCATATTTACTTATGTGTGTAGCAATGGTATGATTTATGTATGTAGCAATCAGTTTTCTGTTTATTTATTTATTTATTTTTTTTAAAAAATATATTTTATTGGTTTTGTACAGAGAAGGAGGGAGAGAGATAGAGAGTTAGAAACGTCAATGAGAGAGAAACATCGACCAGCTGCCTCTTGCACACCCCCCACTGGGGATGTGCCTGCAACCAAGGTACATGCCCTTGACCGGAATCAAACCCGGGACCCTTCAGTCCCCAAGCCGACGCTCTATTCATTGAGCCAAATTGGTTTCGGCCAGTTTTCTGTTCAAATTTCCCTTTTTTCAATTTCATATTTGGGAAGGTGGTATCTGTTATTGATGATCGATTTTTTAGACCATTCAAGGCTTAACCAAAAAGTCAGAGTTTATGATTCAATCGCTGGACATGAAAATTAATGCATTTGGACATGTCAAATACCAGCTCTTCATAGCTGGGCATGGTCAGTGAATGTATTTGGATAATTTTTAGAAATGTGTGAAGCTGCCCACTGAGTACCTTTCACCGAGGGAAGGGCGCGAGCGTCCATGGCCTGCTCCTCATTTCCTGGCGTTCCGGCCCAGGGAGGTCCCCAGATCCTCCTGAGGGTGCTGGGTGCGCACCCTCCATCTCCTCCAAAGGATGGCGCTCTCTGCACTGCAGGACAGTCACAGTTTGCTTTCTGGCTATGAGTACTGTCTCTGCTCTTACAGGAACTTGTGTGATTTGCTTACCCTTGAACTTCAGAAGGAACTGAAACCTGAATCCAGAGCGGAAGTGTGCTTGAGGAGGCTCGCCAGGGGAGGCGCCTGCACTGGATTCAGCCAATGTGACCGGAATTCTGGAGAGGGACAGAGCGACCTTCAAAAACTTTTGTGGATTGTCCAGTCCGGAGCTCTGGAAGCATCCGTGTCCCACTGAGTGGGGTGGGCATCCCAAGAGGCTCACTTCAAGATGAGTGACTCTGCCTGACACCTGTAAACACCAGTGTTACTGGAAACAACAAACAAGCAAACCTACAGACAATGCCGGGCACACAGGACACAGTGGAAAGCATGAACTTCTCTCCTCACTTTAATCACACCATTCAATTCTGCTTATGTGTCAGACAAAGACTGTTAATACCTCACTTTTATAGTCATGGGATTCTTTTACTATGATGAATGTTTGCAATTAAACTCTATTTACACACTTAGTTAATAAGATCACAGAAAATTACTCACATTTTTAATTATTCTTTTTTTTGCAGCCTTGCAAATGCCGAAGCACATTGATTATGTTCAATTGAATGCATTATTCCACGTGAGCAAACAGCAGGCCAGGTAAGATAGTCACGCATACTTTGTCATTCAAATGGATATTAATGTGTTTGTTTCATGAATAAAGCCTCTCACAGGTGCCTGATGTCCCGCACAGATGAGAGTGTTTGAGAACCTGGAGGATATTTTTCCGGGTTAAAGGCCCAGCACACACATCGTATTTCAGGGAAACAATTCCGTGGACGAGGTGTGGCTCATGCCCCACAGGCCCTTCTGGTGCTCGGAGAGCGATGGTGGACAAAGCGTCAGTGGCTTTGTGTTTGTTTGATGTGATTTTAAATCCACGTGTTTATGACTTAGACGTTGTTTTAATGCCCTTGTTTATGGCACAGCCAGAACGGCTGCTTTTAGAAGTGAAGCTGTGTCAGGACTCAGCACCTCCTCTGGGGGCCCAGTGGGGGGCGTGTCTGCAGGACCAGGGGGAGAACAGCTGTGGCCTGGGACCTGTGGGCTGCCCCCCAGGCTGTGAAGGTGCTGGAGGGTTTGGGCTTCGCAGGGCACACTGTGCTGCCCTGAACAGCCCTTGGAGCATCGGGAGACATTTCTCCCGCGGTGGCCACAGTGGCCCTTGGGTGGGCAGTGGCCCTAAGCCCTGCCCAGCGTGGAGTGACAGCCTCGGAGCAGCCAGCCAGCCCACCCAGCACCAGTTACCCCTCAGCACGACTCAGCAAGCAGGGGCTGGGAGCCGCAGCTGGAAGGCAGGAGTGGCGCCCCGTCCCCAGCTCCCATGGAGAGGCCCACCCACCTCGATTAAATTTAGACTTTATTTATCCCCTTGTCTCCCCTTGCCTGTAACAACAGTGTGTTACCCTGTGCTTGTTTGGACCGTGCTGTTTCTGTGCTGGCTTATTAAAAGGTACTGTGGTGTGTACTGTTGGCCTGCAAAATCATCCCAGTCCTATGGCAGACCGGTGATCAACCAACTGCTGGCAAGGCCGGAATCAGCCCCTGAGCACAATCTGCTGCCCAAGACAGAACACAATGGTGAAATCCCAAATCTGAGCAAGAGGCCAGGAGATGGAATCCCATGAGACCCAAGAACCGGGAAACGTCATGGTTCAAAGCTCGGGCTTCCTAAGATGCATTAGGCTAGAACACATGTGTCAAGCACAAGGCCCGCGGGCCAAATCCGTCCCTCCAGGCCTTGCAATGTGGCCCGCACCGCCTGTCATCACTGCACTGCTCTGTGTTTCCATAACAATGACAGTTTATGACTGTTCAGTAAACCATTCGGCCCGCGATTTAGGCTGGATTTTAGATTTTGGCCCCTTCTTTGATTGAGTTCGACAACCCTAGGCTAGAATAATGGTCCGCAAACTGCGACTCTCGAGCCACATGCGGCTCTTTACCCCCGTGAGTGAGGCTCTTCCACAAAATACCACGTGCGGGCATGCACATACAGTTTGATTGAAACTTCGTGGCCCAAGCACAGAAGTTGGTTTTTGGTTCTCAAAAGAAATTTCAATCGTTGTACTGTTGATATTTGGCTCTGACAACTAATGAGTTTGCCGACCACTAGAAGATGTATTTAAAAAATCTCCTTCCTTGCCAACTCCTTAGCCTAAGCTGGGTCTCTGTATTATGAAACCAGCTTCTTCTCTGTCCATCTGTGCCCCAGAACCCCCACCTTCCCTCACAGAGGGAGGGGCTTTGCCAGGCTCTTTCCCAGCCTCACAAAGGGCTCTGCGCTCTGGAGAAAGGGGCTGAGCGGAGATGACTAAGGGTCCAAGGATGAAAGATAATTTGAAAGGCATTGGGGGTCAGAGGAGCTTCAGCTAAAGCACATGTGTCAAACACAAGGCCCGCGGGCCAAATCCGTCCCGCCAGGCCTTGCAATGTGGCCCGCACCGCGCTGTCATCACTGCACTCCGCTGCGTTTCCATCACAATGACAGTTTATGACTGTTCAGTAAACCATTCGGCCCGCGATTTAGGCTGGATTTTAGATTTTGGCCCCTTCTCTGATTGAGTTCGACACCCCTAAGCTAAAGGATCTAGAACAGTGTTTCCCAACCTTCTCTCATGATGAGAATCACCTGGTGGAGTTGTTAAAACACAGATTCCTGAATCCCAACTAAGAAGTGCTAAACTAGAATTTTTGAGAACATATAGGTAAAATTGCATACCTAACTTAGTGCTCTGTATATAAAATCTGTCTTAGAGCACTAGTTAAGTATACAATTTTACCTATATGTCCCCCAAAATTCTAGTTTAGCACTTCTTAGTTGGGATTCAGGAATCTGTGTTTTAACAACTCCACCAGGTGATTCTCATCATGAGAGAAGGTTGGGAAACACTGATCTAGAAGACTCATCCTGTCTAAGGACCACGTGCTTTTATTAAACACAATTTGTCCTAAGGCCAGGTGGAGATAATACACTTCACAGGGTAGGGGTTACAGATGCATTTGGGGAATAGCCTACAGCTGTTCAGGTGTTCCGCCACCAGGAGGCAATAAAATGCCTGAGCTGTCTGGCAGCAGTCAATCCTGTTCAGGTTTGGGGAAGTGCCCTTTAGCAGTCCAAACAGGTAAGCTACATGTGGCTCCCCCTTGATGAGCCACCCAAGCTTCACCAACCTTTTGGTGAAACACTTACAATTATTACATGCTGGAATTGGTTCCCAGCAGAGCTTGCCTCATCTGTGGGCCTGAGGAGAAATGCCACCAGCTTCTGTACATCATCCCCTTCTGTAAAACACCCCTTTCACCCTGTCCCTGTGTCACACGCCTTTACTACTTTCCTGTGTCACACCCCTTCAATCCTTTACCTATTTCCTGTGTCACACCCCATTCAACCAATCCAAGTGTCACTCCCTTCACCTCCTCCCTGTGTCACACCCCTTCACCCCATCCCTGTGTCACACCCCTTAACCCGATCCCAGTGTCACAACCATTCACCCCATCCTTGTGTCACAACCCTTCACCCTTTCCCTGTGTCACAGCCCCAATTACCACTTCCCTGTGTCACACCCCTTCTCCCCATCCCTGAGTCACACCCCTTCACCCCATCCATGTGTCACAAACCCTTCACCCCTTCTCTGTGTAACACCCCTTCATCCTATCACTGTGTCACAAGTCTTCACCAACTTACTGTGTCACCTCCTTGAAACAAACCCTGTGTCACACCTCTTCACCACCTTGCTGTGTCACACCCCTTAACCCCATCACTGTGTCACAACCCTTAACCCAATACCTGTGTCACACCCCTTAATTCCATTCCTGTGTCACACCCCTTTACCCCATCCCTGTGTCACACCCCTTAACCCATTCCTGTGTCACACCCCTTCACCCCATTCCTATCTCAAACCCCTTTACACCATCCCTGTGTCACAGCACTTCATCCCATCCCGGTATCACACCCCATTCACCACCTCCTGTGTCACCCCATTAACCCCATCCCTGTGTCATACCACTTCAACCCATCCCTATGTCACACCCCTTCACCCCATCCCTGTGTCACACCCCTTCTCCCAATCCCTGTGTCACACCCCTTCACCACATCCCTGTGTCACACCCCTTCACCCCATCCCTGTGTCACACCCCTTCACCACCTTCCTGTGTCACAACCCTTCACCCCATCCCTGTGTCACACCCATTCACCCCCTCCCTGTGTCACACCCCTTCACCACCTTCCTGTGTCACACCCTTCATCCCATGTCTGTGTCACATCCCTTCACTCAATCCTGTGTCACACCCCTTCACCACCTTCTTGTGTCACACCCATTCACCCCATCCTTGTGTCACACCCATTCACCCCCTCCCTGTGTCACACCCCTTCACTCCAACCCTGTGTGATACCCCTTCACCATCTTCCTGTGTCACCCCTTTCGCCCCATCCCTGTGTCAAACCCCTTAACCCATTCCTGTGTCACACCCCTTCACCCCATTCCTATCTCAAACCCCTTTACACTATCCCTGTGTCACCCCCTTCACCCCATCCCTGTGTCACAACGGTTCATCCCAAACCTCTGTCACACCACTTCACCCCATCCCTGTGTCACACCCCTTCACCCCATCCCTGTGTCACATCCCTTCACCCCATCCCTGTGTCACACCCCTTCACCACCTTCCTATGTCACACCCCTTCACTCCATGTCTGTGTCACACCCCTTCACTCATACCCTGTGTCACAACCCTTAACCACCTTACTGTGCCACACCCATTCACCCCATCCTTGTGTCACACCCATTCACCCCATTCCTGTGTCACACCCTTTCACCCGATCGCTGTGTCACACACGTTCACCAACTTCCTGTGTCACCCCCTTCGCCCCATCCCTGTGTCACATCCCTTAACCCCATTCCTGTGTCACACCCCTTCACCACCTTCCTATGTCACACCCCTTCACTCCATGTCTGTGTCACACCCCTTCACTCCAACCCTGTGTCACAACCCTTAACCACCTTCCTGTGTCACACCCATTCACCCCATCCTTGTGTCACACCCATTCACCCCATTCCTGTGTCACACCCCTTCACTCCAACACTGTCACACCCCTTCACCCGATCCCTGTGTCACACACCTTCACCAACTTCCTGTGTCACACCCCATCTCCCAATCCCTGTGTCATACCCCTTCACCCCATCCCTGTGTCGCACCCATTCACCCCCTCCCTGTGTCACACCTCTTAACCACATCCCTGTGTCATACCCCTTCACCCCTCCCTGTATCACACACATTCACTCCAACCCTGTGTAACACCCCTTTACCACCTTCCTGTGTCACACCCCTTAACCACCTCCCTGTGTCACACCCCTTCATCCCATTCTTCTGTCACACCCCTTCACCCCATCCCTGTGTCACACCCCATCTCCCAATCCCTGTGACACACCCATTCACTAAAACCCTGTGTAATACCCCTTCACCCCATTCCTGTTTCACACCCCTTCCCCTATTCCTGTGTCACATCCCTTCACTCCATCCCTGTGTCACACCCCCTCACCCCATCGCTGTGTCACACCCCTTTACCACCTTCCTTTGTCACCATCTTCACCAAATCCCTG